AATAGTGCCAGATCGTGCTAACATTGTCGAGATCAAGATCCAATGGTTGTTGGATCTTGGTCTCAATGGTGTCAGCACAATATGAACGGATATGAAGTCAATCTCTTATCCATATTCGTTTGGCAGAGGTTGAAGCTGTATTTTTTCAAACCTTCTATCGATTTCTCTTTGCCTACTTTCCATCCTCCTCCATTCTTTATTGCTTCTCTTGCACCTACACCACTAATGAAGTTGTTGGATTCTTTTGTTTCTTCAATAACATTATCACCTTCACTAAAAATGATAAAAATACTACTAACCAATGGACTGCCAGTAGAATTAGTGCACCAAACCATGAAAGTACATGAGGTTGAGGCTGATGCAGTAAATGCTAACATGATCAGTTTCATAAAATAATCTATGAAGTAAAACTCATCAAACATGTCATACCCTTCGTTGTAAGTTTATCCTCCAACTTTACCACTGGACCAACCCTTTGGGGGTTCTCATTGTAAGTTTTTATGACTCGTAATTATTTTATTATTTATAATTTTTATTTTATCCAGGAAAACCCACCCACCATCTGCCATCCCCCACGCAATCCACCCTTAATTCAAACTGTACCCTACCTCTTGTTGTAAGTTTGTGTGGCTCATAATTATTTTAATATTTGTAATTTTTATTTGATCCATAAAATATCAAAAAACACATACCATTTGTGTGGCTCATAATTATTTTAATATTTGTAATTTTTATTTGATCCATAAAATATCAAAAAACACATACCATCCGCCAGGGCTGAGATCAGGTGACTAAGGGGGGTCCCCTTAGTCACATGGCTAAGTGAATCTTAGCCACTAAACCTCATTAAAATCCAAGGGCTCATATTAATCCAATTTAATGAAGGGCATTGTAGTAATTCTATGTTTATTTTTAACTTTTAATTATAAACGAAATAAATAAAAAAGTCAGCGTTGCGTCCCTTTGCGTCGCCTCCCCTCCCTGTCCGGTTAATTGCGCCGTCTCCGGCCTCCCCTCCCCGTCCGTTGCGCCGTCTCCGACTTCCTGGGCGCCATTATTTTTCTTCCTGGGAACCATTAATCCATTCCCCAAAAAAGAATTCATGGGCGCCATAAGTAATGTTTTTTATGTCTAAAAAACAACCTGGTTGACTTTTGGATGGAACTTCTCTATATAGGGATGGAGCCTCCAAAGTCAACCCGGGTGTTTTTTCTAGTTCGTATGGATTGTCGGTCTAGTTTGTCATTTTTGTCCACCATGTTCGTACTGTTTGTATGTCTAAAAAACACCCGGGTTGACTTTGGGAAGGAGCCCCTGTATATACGGATGGAGCCTCAAAAGTCAACCCGGTTGTTTTTTCTTTTTGTATGGTTTGTATTGTTTGTCGGTCTAGTTTGTATTGTTTGTACAGTTCATACGTTTGTAATGTTTGTAAATCTGTTTGTATGTTTTGTCGCTCTAGTTTGTACTGTTTGTATGGTTTGTACTGATTGTAAATCCGGTTTGTATACTTCGTAATTTTTCATAATACCCAAACTACCCCTACCATTAATTAAATAGCTCTTCCCACTTTTTAACCATTGGATTGAAGTGTCCAGATCTAATGGCTAGGAGGGGCTTAGTCAAGTGACTAAGCACCCCCCTTAGTCACCAGATCCGCACTCCGCCATCACCCACCCATTGCCCATCTCTAACTGGGGATTAATTTGCCCTATAGAGGGGGTAATGTATGTAGTTGTACTACGGTGCATGAAAAAAATTCATTTGCAATCACTTTTAACTTGTTTTCTTCTTCGTTCGATCACTCTTATTAAGAGGAAAAGAACAAGGTCTAGATCGAGTTACATATGAACCTCTATCTACTATTAAATTAGGAAACGAAGTTAAACTACACTAACAAATGAGATGACATAAACAGAGCATGACGAGCCACCAAATGAGTAGGGCTTGGAATTGGTGTGGTTGCGATTAACCGCGCCGAAATTTGTGGTTACTTACAACCTCAAACAGTCCATATTCGCCAACCGATACCGCAAAGCTTACGGTTTGTGGTTAACAACAATGTGCGGTTAAAGTTTAACCGCTGTTAGCCGCTTCCTAGTGCTGCTAGTCGATGGGAGGTTAGAGTTGAGAAGAAGAGGCCCCACCTGAGCCGGGGTTGCCAACAAAATAAGAGGAAACGAGGTAGAGTGGTGGTCAGTGAAGGATTCCCGACTGACGCATCCTTCTTCTCCGGCGCTGGCGACAAATTAGCTTGGAGATGAAGTGACGAACGGAAAGCTAATTTGTAGAGGAGGAATGAAGAACGACAAATTAGCTTGCGATGACGACTACGAGTTAGGATTTACATTCAGGTTTTGGTCTTTCGGAATTCGGACGAGTGACGAATAAGTAGAGGACGAGTGACTGAGGGAGAAGGGTCGAGGTGGTGGGCTGGGTCCGCCGCTGAAAGACTGGGATGAAGTGGGGGAAGGGTTGTGGGCTGGGCTGGTGGGTATTAGCTAATTCGCTTAGTCTTCGGTTAGGATGAATTCAGTTTCGGTTACATCGCAAAAGAGGAGATATTAGAAACCACTACCGCAAAATAGATTATTCTTTCGGTGTGGTTAACCGCAAACCGCACGGTTTCGACAATCACGACCAACGAACCGAAGGTTAAACGCCAACAAAGAACAAAACTCGCGTTCTTTTGATTTAAGATCCACAATCTAATACAATATGGGAGAAGTGCCTTCCAATTAGGGCTGGGAAACGGTGCAGTTATGGTTAACCGCTCCACAACTCGCGGTTAACCACAGTCGCAAAAGTGTCATATCCGCCAACCGTGACCGCAACGTTCACTGTTAGCGGTTAACCACCAACCGCAAATTGAGGTTAACGGTTAGCCTTGGTTAGTATCGCAATTAACCGTGATAACCATATGTGTGTGCAAAACCGTGGTTACTCTAATAACCACATACCTAACCCAAAAATCTTCTAAAACGAGGGGGAAATCAACAGTCCTTGTCCAGATTCTCACGCTTGTAGCAGTCCTTTGTTGTAATGGAGAGGATTGAGGAAGTTTAGGATCGATGAAGAGGAATTCTGGAATGGAGGAAGATGCTTGAGAAGTTGAGCAGATGGAGGAATGTTGGAATGGAGGCCGACTGGTGGTTGCCAAACTCGAATAGAATGTTGGAATGGAGGAAGACGTGACGATACAAGCGTCAAGCGACGAGTGGGATCCGATTATGGGCGGAGGCGGATGGGACGAGGGAAGGGAGGACGAGAAGGGACGACTACTCTGTTTGAATATTTCAATCTTCCATATTAGATTATGGGCAATTGTTTGCAAGGCTAGGTCGTTAGGAAAGGGAAGGCCGGAGGGCGGACTGGCTGGTGCTGGGAAATGGTCTCAGATCCCGGTCGGTGGGCTTCTTGTATTTCGGTTGGGTGGAGCAGTTAGTAATGCGGTTAGCACTGCGGTTACCTCTTACTTCGGTTTCTTTTACAGTTAAACTGCAAACCGTAAAACTCTTAATATCTCTAACCACGATCACAAAAGAGGCTATTTTTGCGGTTTGTGATTAACCATTAACCGCATGGTTTGGATGCGGTTAGCAGTTTAACCACAAAACCGACACCAAATTTCCACCCCTACTTCCAATCGCACTCAATTGAGCCTTCCTATATCAACATCTTCATCGTCAAAAGCCACCAATTTTTTTTGTCATTCAAACCGTCTCCGGGGAGAGGAAGATAAGATCCACACAACGTCAATTACAAACTCCGTAACCAAGACACATAGTCGAACCTCGACAGGACCCGAGGCGACAAACTCAGGAATTTTTTGGACACTAAATGAGCCACCCTGTTTCTCTGACGACCTACAAATTGTAGTTCACAATTTCCACCGAAACCAGCCAGCAAGGATCCAATCTCATGTAAAATAGAACCCACCTTTGAATCCTTGACATCCCCAACCAAGCACTTGTCCAAGATTACTTTAACATCACCCGTAATTAGCAGAGGAGTTAAATGCCTACGAGCACACTCCCTCAAGCAATCTCTGAGTGCCAAAGTTTCCAAGACATGAGCCTCCGCAATCCCTGGATAAATTGTACTCGTTGCAGCTAACGGAGATGCATTCACATCATCAAAAGAACCTTCACAAATTGTAAAAGAAGCAGCCCCGGAATCACCACGCCCAGTTGCACCATCAAAGCAAGCATGAAAACGAGGCGATAAAAGCTGCCGAGGAGCTGGGGCTGAAACATCAACGTGTTGTTGGATTGGAGTGATGGCGAATGCCATCTCAATTTCATTCACTTGATGGCGCCACTCCGCAGCCCTCATCACCAAAGGAGCCTGCTGGTGCTCAAAGAGAACACAACACCTGTTTTTCCAAATTCTCCATAACATAGCAATCACCTGCAAAGTAAAGTAAGAATTGTGTTCTGCATTGCGCCGGTCAAGAAGAACCGCCCGAAAGAACCCTGCAAACGACCGCTTATCCCATGATTGATACTCAGACCGAAAACCCACCAAGTTCCAAAGCCGGTGAGCAAAAGGACAGGCGAAGAACAAATGCTCTAAACTTTCAACCTTACGACCACAAACCGGGCAGAATGGAAGGATGTTCATTCCTCGCTGAAATAAAGCCTCTCTTGTCGGCAGGATACGATTCAAACATTTCCAAACAAAGAAGATTAATTTCGGAGGTAATTTTAAATTCCATAACCATAACCAAAGCTCACGATCAACCTGATTAACTCTAGGACGACCAATCTCAGAACGTTGTACTTGACGTAGTCCCCGAGAAGAAGAGAAATACCCAGAAGGATTACCGTTAACAAGAATCGAAAAAGAGGCCGAACAAACACATTCCTTAACCCAATAAATCCATTCTGCAAAGAAGCCCAGCTTCCGAAGAATTGCAAAAAGATAAGGCCATTCAATTGATCCACACTCTTTTAGTTCAACCTGGTTAACCAGATGGGCTTGTAGCCCAATTACGTGTCCAATACCAGCAGAGCAGGCCTTTTCTCTAACCGAAAGGAACAAAGAAACTTAAAATAATCCTTTCTTTTTTTCCTTTTCCAGACTCGGGGGTTCTAAATACTCAAAATCCAGATTCTCCTATCGACCCAGTAACCGTTCTCAAACCCTAAACGCAGAAATCGCAGAATCGCTCTCCCAAGGTTAGTTGTCGATCCGCCGGAGCTCTCGCCTCTTCTCTTTTCTTGTGCGATTGTTTCTCAAGTTGCGTATTCGCTTGTTTACTGGCAGTGGCAGGTAAGTTTTGATTGATTGTGTTGCGCCGGCCAGCCATCATGTTGAATTCTGGGGAGCCGGAGCTCTTTGCTGATCAAGGTTTGTCTATCTACGTTTCCCCTTTGATTCCGCCATATATATTTGACGATACACATTCCTTGATCCAAATTCGTTCGCGAGGATAGAGAATCTAGCTAGCTAGTTCGTGGTTTAGGGTCTTTGCTCGTTGAATAATAATGTCTTAGTTGGGATATAGGGAGTAGGCGATCAGTTCAGCGGTGTATTGGGTTCCGATTGTTTGTTTGTTATTTACTTATTTTACTGTCCTTTTCCGTCCACCGTTGCATTTTGGTTTTCTGACTCCAAACTTTTGATGCAGAGGCCGCCAGGACGTCAGTGGAGGAAGAACTGGCTCGGGATATGGTGATGATGGCACAATTTGAGGAGCAGATGAGGCAATGGGAAAGAGAGCGGCGAGAGAGGAGGTTGAGGGATCCTCAGTGCTTCGGGCCAGAAGCAGTGGATCGTACCGCTGCTTGGCTTCGTGCTGGTCTTGCTAGCGCCCAAGGTGCTGATGATGATTGGTTTAGATATAGTGAGCAGCATTGTGAATCGTGTTTTGTTGTGAATCGTGTTTTGTTAATTTGCATGCCGTCTTCCTCTGTCCTTTGTATTTTTGTTTTCTGACCAAAAAACTTTGGTGCAGCGGCTGGGAGTTCAAGGCAGACAGAAATAGCTGAGCTACAGCAGATGCTGGACATGATCCCCAGGTGGAGGAGTCGCGAAGAGGAAGAGGAAAGGAGGTTGAAGGAGGAGGCTCAATTGGGGCTGGCCAGAGCGATGGATGTTGCTGCTGCTCCGGCCCATGGAGAGGTTGAAGAGGAAAGGAGGTCGAGGAGGCTCGATTGAGGACAAGAGCAGTGGATGTCGCTGCTGCTTCTCCGGCCCATGGAGAGGTGAAAGCGAAAAGGTTGAAGAAGGTTTGATTGGAACTGATTGATGTTATACCATGGTCTCTGTCAGCTGTTGGACTCAACTTTGTTGCTTCTTTTCATTTGTCACAATGTGTCTTTGTGATATTAGCTTGTCTATCTTATTCTGCTCTTTATTTCCTTCTGGATTTATTGGTGGTGTGATGATGGTTTCTACTGATGTGCTCCTATTAAAGTAATGACGTGTTTTGGAATTGACAAGTTGATATTAGACTGCATGCTGATACATTTGACGATGGATGATTAATTTGATATTTTCATTGACGTTGATGATATGAACTAGAGTATGTGATTTCTTATAAATCATTGGAATGATCGTGATTAGGTAAATGGAGAAGATTTGAAGTTGATAAATGTTGCATGCATGTTGCTCTAGAATCTTCATGATAACTGCATACCTAATCTCCACGAATCGATGTGCTCGAGCCAAACAAACTTCCCCATTGATAACCCGACCCGCCATTAGCGGTTATTCGGCCATAAAAAATCGATAAAAAGGCCTCTGTGGCGGTGTCGGGTGGAGAATTTGGGATTATTTGTTGATCGTCGGTGGTCGGTTGCTAACTGTCGGTGGTCGATCGCTAACCGTGAATCGCAAAGCTTGAAATCTCGGCCCTCCACTTCACGGCTCCGCCCATTACTTTGTTAGATTTGAACCTCGCCGCATCAACTCCTTCCTCTATCCCTTCCTGCCTTATTCAGCCTCGGAGGTCGAGGAGAACTAGGTTAGCGAGATCTCGGTCGTCGCTCCCGCTTCGCCTTACTCGGTTGCTGTCGCCCTGCTTTTCTCTACCTCTTCACTCTTCAGTGTCGTCGATTTGGTGTGTCAATTCAAAGATTGCCTACAAGAAAGAGAGCTCCGAGCCGCCAATCGCTGCCATTGCAATTGGAGCCAGCAATCCTTTATGATCTTCACTCCAACTCAAATTTCCACACTCTAGACCAACTCTGTTCACAAATCCCTCTCAACTTCCTCTAGCTCACCACCCCACCTCGTCTTTTGGTCTCGACCTCACCACTCCTTTACCAAATTGGGGGTCACCTTTCGTCGCCTATCTCCACTCCCCTCACTCGCCACCAACGCATCGTACTCCGACCACAGAAAATCAGCTGCAGATCTCAGTTTTGCAAATCGGCAAACTCGCAGCCGACAATCGCTTGGGCTTCGTCGAGGATGATGAAGGCGGAGTGACGGTGCAGGATTTGCTGGTAATCTCTTCTTCGTCAGTCGTCCCAGGTCGTCCTCTGTCCTTGGCCTCCTTGTTTCTCCCAACTCGTAAAAACCCAAGTGATAGAAGATTGCATGAGGTGAGTGGATTTAGTTAGTCGATCGGGGATTGAGAAGACCTCCGATCTTTGTCACTGCATCTCCCCTGCCTTAAACATTGAGTAATCGGAGATTGCATGAGAGGATTTAGGTTTTAATTTGGAAATTTTGAGAGAGAAGAAGAGATACAAGATTGGGACTGGGAAACTTCGAGAGATTAAAAGAGAGAAACAAAAGTCCCTTGTTTTATTTATTTTGGTCGGGATCGGTTTGCCGATTAACCGCGCCGTTGGCTAGCGGTTTTGGTGGCGGGTTAACCGACCCGATTAACGGCCCTACCCATAGTTGTAAAAGAGACTTGTCATTCGACCCCTACCGAAGCCCTAGAATTCGGGTTCCCCTGAAGAACAACCTAGTCAAACTCATCAACTTAATGTCTTCATTGTGCCACCAATATCTCCAGTCTCATCTGCACTTTGTTAAAGAACACACCAACCCCTTAACCATACTAACTTGTTTAACAACCATTATATTAAAATGGTAATCCTAAGGTCATAATTAGTTAACGTTGGATGCAGTATTTTGATGAGGTATTTCGATCGAAATAACTCAAAATGAGTTTTTTTATAGATAATGGCGAATTCAATTAAATAAAAACCGAAGGAGAGTACTTACATACACAGCAAGGGAGGCAACAAAGTCTTATCATGAATGAGACTAGGGACCCTTGAAAACAAAAGAAGAGCCCAACTAATAGGCAAAAATAGAATGGTGAAATAAATCGCTGGGCAAAAATAGAATGGAATGTTGTATTTTATAGAACAATTGAAATAATTCATTGTGAGTTATTTGAAATACCTACCCACCCCCTAGTTATTTCAAATAACTCATCTCTCAACTTATTTTTCCACTTCATCTCTTCTTTAAGTGGTGAAATATCACAATATTTGAATGTTTTATCCAAACAAGATAATTAGACCAATTACCACATTCTAAACTGAAATATCACATAAAATGTCACACAACAAAATAATGCAACATTTTTGTTTTCCCCACAAGAAAAAACCGAGTGGAACATAATGAAATTCGCACCTTTGACTTCTTATCTTAACAAACGAGGAAACAAACACGGTCCACACCTCTTTGAACAAAGTTCAAACACGGGTGTTTAATGTTCTTGATGATGTACGAGAGAAATCTAAATTACATTAAATCTACTCCTATGGAGGTTTAGTGAGAGCCCCTGAACTACAACTATGGCTAAATTTGCAGAGGAAAAGATAAAAGGATAAATGTTGACATTGGGTTGTCTTGTGTGAATTTGGTGAACCTTTTCCCTGTTATCTTCACCTCCTATTATAGCCACAAGAAGTAATTGCCTTCAAAAACTGCTCTGCTGACGTGGAGCAACAGCTACCCTCCCAACTGCTCTGACGATGTCCTAACGTTGAATGTGCCATCCTCTTCAGCCTTGGCCCCTTCCTCTTGATAGCTCCTCCTTTGCTTTGCTTTTCAGTTGAGAAAAATGACGAAGGCGTGAAGATCCCCTTTCCACATGTGGGTGGGTACTTTTTTTTGACAAAAGATAATCATATATTGATTGAACAAATAGATAGTTACATCCTGGAATTCAGCCATCCTCGAATCGCACATGTCAAAATTAACATGCACCCAACACCACATCAGGGGCCCTCCTCTCCTTGGAGATAATTTGGTCAACTATCTCCAGACTTGACCAAATTTCACCCAAGATGATCACCCCCTGATCATACATATCTTGGTGGTCTGCCTGACAACCTCATGGGGGTGATGTTGATCACGCCCCCGAGCCCTGGCCATACCATGGGGGGTATGTTGGTACCATAGGGACCTACTCACGTTGGTCAAATTCGGCCATTCATCATTCTTTAACCGAACTCACGTCATCACTCAACCATACCGCCCTCCTCATATTCTCCATACTTATCCATATTTTACTCTATGGTATTGCATTCCATGGGGGTCGTATGTTGGTGACCACCCCTTGGTTATACCATAGAGGCACTATATCGATCACGCCACCACCACATCATGGGAGTGGTAGTATGGTGGCCACCCCCCTCGGCACATCATGGGGGTGGCGGTATGCCGACCCCCTACCACGTCATGGGGGTGGTGGTATGTTGACCCTCCACCACGTCATGGGGGTGACTCCACCACTTAACCAAATTTGGGAATAGATGACTAGAGTGACGAATAATGGTATGAGGTTATGGGCCCAAAAATCCAATCCACGTGGCCACTTAATTGATTTAAGTTGTTATAATTAAGTTGGCTCTGTAAAACCATTTAATCACTTGTATTTAACCGAGGTGGTACAAGGTTAATTTTAGTGTAAACAATTTTGATTTAAATTATGAAAAATACACTTGTATAGCCAAAACTTTCATGTTTGTGCAAATAATAGCCAGATTTGGAGAGTTACTGACATGACAAGCTCTTATCTCGACTTTCGTCTGTAAATATCCACTTGGATTTAGAAAATGAAAAAAATACAATGTGAGATTTAGAAAAAGTGAGATTTAGAAAAAACAACTTGCGACGGCAACATATGGGAGGTTCGTGACGGTAGGAAGAAGAAGATGAAGGGGACATATGTTTCTTCTTTTTTTTTTTGTTTTGGAAGGAGATGGAGAAGAGATCTCTCTAAATGGAATGACATACAATTTTTTTTTAATCTAAAATGTGACATCGCTGCCACGAGGCATGGCAAGATCTATGTGGACATGATGTGTCGAGGTGGCAGCCACATAAGCCTAACGTCCATTTCACTGACGGAATAGTTGGCGATGTTAAAGTATTTGACGGAAATGGCTAAATTAGTCCAATAAGTTTTAAAATGTGGTTATAAGTGGTATTTCTCCAAATTTGGCTATTATTGGCACAAACGCGGAAGTTTTGGCTATACAAATGTATTTTTCCTTTGAAATAGCATAGAACCAAAATGATGCATCCAAACAACCCGTAAAGGATATTTCAATAATATTGTTTTAACCCTAATATATAAACTCTCCTACCGGCTACCATCATTCGCCGCTCATAACCCGTAAAGGATATTTCAGTATTATTGTTTTAAAAAGTTAAAGGAACCAAATGTAAGAAATAAAAATTTCATGTACTAAAATGTAATTTTCCATCGATATTTTTAGGTACTAAATATTAATATATATTAAATTCAGGTACAAAAACTGTAATTTGTAAATGGAACACTACAAAATCAACGTAGAAGAAAGGGAGGGGAAGGGGAAAGGAAAATGCCTAAAGGAAAAAGGGTAGTTACTATATTACGCTTAGTAAAAGTGTTAGCACCATATTCGATCTCATGTAGTGGTGTGGTGTAAATTCTTTCTTCAACTAAATGTACATGTAAAATACAATTGAAACTTCATTAAAGATAGAAATTAAATTTCTCATTTAATCAATAAATTCAAGGGAGAGAAATGCATTTTGCAATCAAACAAGCAATTAATAAAATCCTTCACAAATTCAATAGAGCAAATCCAACATAATCCTACAATTCAATAATCCAGAATTTTACCTAAATCCCTTTTTTTTTTTTTAAATCCTACAAACAAACAACCTCAAGGTTATTCCTGGGGCCTTGATGCTTTGGTGCTGTTATGGTTTGGTGCTGGATTGAAGTGAATATTGAAATTTGGTTTACATAGTATCACTCGGTTAGTAAATCTCCATGAAAGATGGAAGGGATAGAATGACAAATTTGCTGCAGTTTTGGTACGGGAAGGAAGATGGGCAGGTAGCTTTATGATTATTCCCTGCTTGTTGTGTTTTGGTTTTAAAGTTTGAATCTTCCCCCAAAATGAAAACGTCAAGTCTGCTCATTCAAGTCACAAATTTTTGAACGGATGCTTTACTTGCTTATGAAATGAATGGAGAGATTAGTAGCTTTGGTATTTTTGTTGTTCGTTGGGTCGTCTGTTGTGGGATGCTGCTGGCTAGGTTGATTCTTGATAACAGTTGAAATGTTGCTTGACTCGTTTCGAATATCACAATTAATTCCCACCTAATGCTCAAGTATAAACCTTAGTAGGGTACAATATAGGGC